TTAACACCACACTGTCCGGACCGCAATAGCTCAGCCGGTAGAGCATCTGCCAGGTGTGCGGCGGGTTGTCGGTTCGATTCTGGCTCTAGGCGTCCGATTTTTCGATGTGAAGAACGCAAGTAGATTTTTCAAAACCACCCGATTCAGGCTCCTCGTGCTATTAATACGTTCATTGAATGTCCATCCCACTGTTTTGCACCGTGCTGCATTCGAATACGAATTCGCATGTTTTACGTACGCGATTGGGAGGATTGAAAGAAATGCTTGCATCTCGCAATTCATCTATTGTGTCTGTTTTGATGAATAAATAACTTTATTATTGTCACACACGGTGCACATTATAAACCATTTAAGTTTGACTTCATTGAACTCAACTTGCTTTGTTGGATTCCGAAGGCTGTGGTTATGTGCTCGCTGGAAATGAAAGAGCCTCAATCGGTTGGAGGACAGCACGATGGTTTTTGGAAACTCTAGAGCATTACCTCAGGAAGAATTCGAGTCACTGAGCTCGGTAGTGGACGAATACATGGTCAAAACGTCGTTGAACACGATAGCGTTTCGTTATGGCTACAGCTTTTTTTTCTGTTCTGTGCCAATACATAAAGGCAGTTTGAAACCAGAAGGGTTTCTTTTTAGAAAATGCGGGATTCTGCACAAGAGGAACCTTAAAATTCACGCAGCTCTTGTATGATAGATGGGTCCATTATTGCCATTTATCGCTTCCAGTATCGCAGATTGGGACCAGAGAAATGGATTTGAACGTGTTGAAATTTTATTGTTACTCCATCGTCGTGCGGCTATTCTCAGAATCGAACGATTTTCGAATGGCCATGCCCCTGCTATTTTCAAGCAAATGAAAAATGCCCCAAATACAAGTAAATTCTGCTTTGGTCGTTTGATTAGAATAATTACGACCGAAGAACCAAGATCTGTGACAATTGCATCCGTGACGAGTATTGTGCGACCTTTTTTCGCGAGATTTAAATAGGAGACCCATATTGATGTGACCCAGAAATTTCCGAAACTCATCTTGTTTAGGCCACTTGAGGAATACCCATAATTTTTATGATTTGTGGAATTTGTGACCAGGATGGGAAGCGTAAAAAGGCCAATGTGCTTTGCGATATGGTGTAATGAGCCAGCAATTAAAAACTCCGTCGGTGCATTACGGAGTGTTGATTGGTCAATTGTTACATCAAACATACCGATTGGATTAAATACGAAGAATATTGTTCAAGATATGGCAATAATTTACCCCAATATGACTAGAGTTATGTGCACAATAACTACGCAGCCGCAGCAGCTGCAAAAACCGAATTGTGCTTTTCTGTTAGGGAAGCCAAAGATAAATTACTGGATGAGATGAATTACTTGTCTTTTTCGATCTTTTACCTTGCCAGTGTTTTCACTCCCACATTAACAAGAGCACCATTGAGGCACTGTACCATTTTGTTTCAACACGAGATTGAAATGGTTCAATGCCACTGGGATCAAACAATACATGATCTGCATTCTTCACGTGACTGGCGTGGTTTCACAACGAAACTGCATGTGCCTAGAGAGCATGAATGACCGATTTCAAGATGTAAACAATACTGTGAAGGCGAAACGATAAATGTGGTCATTATTCGTTGGATGAGTTACAATAAATCGACATGTTCGGTTCATGCTCGTGTTGTTCAGGAATTCGCTTTCTAATCAATTAATAATATTCACAACTAAGTAACTCAGTATTTTCTCTAGAAATATAATGCAGATATGTCCAATGAATAATACACCGAAGATAACTTGCATAGCCTAACTGAATAATTCCATGTATTTGGCGAACTTTGTTTTGTAATCGTAGCTCGGCTTCTTCACAATAAAACCATTTTGCCCACAACCACTGGGAAGAGATGTTACCAAACAATGTGAGCCAATCTGTATAAACGGGAATCTTAGGGAGCTTAGGGGTGAGAACCGTCTCATAGGAGTAATAAATTAACTTCGTCAACTGAGGTTTTACGGAATACTTAACTTCAAATGCGAGTCACATATTGAAATATGCCGACTCTCCATGCCAGCCCAACTATTCTCACTGATGAAATAATTGAATTGCTCGCTTTACACCTCCATAGTCACGGGATCAAATATGCTTCATTGAACTTCTCGAAACCCACGACTTGCTCGTCCATATACTGGACTATGGACGTTTGAGTAAGTAGCTTTTCATTTTATGCTGTTGGTGAAAATATATTGCTCTGAATGGTTTGCTGATTTGTTGAATGTCGGAAAATTACATACAAAATATCAAGGGTGATTTTGGGATTTTTAGACACTTATGGTAAAGGTTATCAGTTTGGGTAGCTGTATTTACTGTGTACCCACAAATAGTCGAGCAAACGTCATGCAAATAGATTAGAATACATCTTTCTTTGAGGTTTCCGCTTGAAGAAAACTATGAAATAACTTTTTGTCTAAATATTTCCAAAAAGGCCAGGTGAAACTCCGGAAATTCCCCCGGAATTTAGGAAATTTTATCATCTCTTACTGGAATTTATTTTCCCCCTTTCTTGAACCATAATCCCCACTTCTATGTACCAATGACTTCAACAGTTGACGAAAAGAAATATTTTCACCTTTCACGAATTCGTATGAACTGGACGTTTCCATGGCATTGGGATCCAGAAGACAGGCTGACCTTAGTATCAAAATTAGTACCGTGTATTTCACTGTATGAAACTGAATCATTTAGAAGGCGATAGACGGTATTAGCACCAAGGCCTTTCTCGTGTGGATTTTTGATAGAAACAAGAATGGCAGTTCTGTCCATCGACGGTAGTGGCTATAATGTTCGCCCAGTTTGGAATTTTCGTTGCTCTAAAGCTTCGTTGATTATGGGATGTGTTGAAGTTGCGGGATTCCCGATACGAAATCAGTAGAAATGATGCTGTGCAATTACCCTACCAAATCGTGAGCAATTTACCGGACGATTAACTCTGTTCCCATTGAGACCACTGATGTATGCAGTTGGTGACTGGATATTACAGAGATTTTCTTCCAGTCAGAACATTACTGAGATCAACAAATGCCTCAGGAAGAAAGTATCCTCCATAGTGAATGCATTTGTCAGATGAGACATTGGACAGAGACCAGAAATATATGCTATTGGTAGGTTTCACATGCTTCCGAACAGAGTAAAGCATCGTGTATATTTTGTGGAGCATGGAATGACGAAAGCAGTGAACTCTCGTAAGTCGAGGTGTATTGAAATGTGACGTACCAGTTACCGTTGCAAGATGTTTCGGAACCATGTTGTGAAAGGTGTCATTCAAGGCTTGAATCATTCTTTCTTTGAAATTGTTCCATTCAGTTTTTCATTCAAACATTTTTATTGATTATATTGTTTAATACACATTACTGGACCTTTATGGATTACAATTGAACTGGATGAGAATGACGAAATTTACAATAAGAATGAGCGTGCTGTAGACGAAAGATTGTAAATAATAAGAATTGGTAGTTTTCAACGGTGTTTGCTGAAGCCTTTTTAATTTGCTAGACGTGACAGAGGCGAGCATTGCATTCTTCTCACTGTAAAGAAGCGAGGTATTTCTATGCAACGTGGCAATGCTCACGCAGTCCTTTCTACCTTTTTTCATCAGTGACCTTGACAGCAGAATCTATGCCAACGCGATCATTGAAGTCGGTACCAATGAGAATGCAGTTCAGGTGGATGAGTGACATGATGGGCTCTGTTTCGACTATTCCACAGAATGTTATGGCCGACCGAGAAATTCGCCGGAGAAGACGGAAGTGGTTCTGAACCTAATGCTCCAAATAAACGTGCTGGGATTAACTGAACTAGGTTTCAACCCGGTTTGTTCAAAAACGATTCTGTTGGAGCTGGTAATGTTATCCTTCGAAGATCCGGTCAAATGCCACTCTGTAATATCGAATAGATTGAACGGACACAACGCCGCACAGAACTATCCAGGATCACGAACGCCAACCCCTAATAGGTTGCAGTGTAAGATTTCGTGTGCGCGGTATCACTTATTGTACATATGTGTTTCAAAATGGGAAGGATTTAGTGAAGTCAATCAGAGAGAGTCAATCATGAAAATTACATCCAGCGCACGCCTAAATTAGGTGGGCTGTTCGTAATCTCTTCGTTGTAATGAACAAATTTCTTCACATCTTCGGATACTCGATCATTTCATGGGATTCTCGGATGCAAATGTATCCAGATAACGATGATCACTTTGTGCAACAAAAGGTGAATTGACATTTGACTGACCTTCTTCACTGAGCAGTAACCTGTTCAGCATGACGTCTAGGACTAGATGGATCATCCAGACCCGGAAACGTGATCATCCGGTTCCCGTTGCGCGGAATTAAAGGTCCCTTTGAGGGACGTGAATCATTTCCTCTGAAGTTACTGACATTAGCTTTCAACATATACTCAAAAATGGTCCTCAAACAGCAGCATTCGAATAACTGAGAAGCACTTTTATCAGAAACAGTGTGTGCAGCGTAATCATATTGCCTACGAAAATTGTCGATGGCACGATCAACTTCAAAAAATGTACGCGGTTTCACAAAATGAATTCCATTATTCTCTAAACAGCCATTAGACTGCGGGTGACGGGGAGCAGGGTATAGATGTTTGCAACCAATAACCCTATGCCACGCATCCAAGAGTTTAGCAGTGAAAAATGTGTCATTGTCAGCAAGTAGCACAAAAGGAACTCCTCTGCTGAATGTTTTCCTGATCCCAGTCTGTGTGGGCGTAGTCGTCAAAAGTACCTCTGGTCAGCGGGGAGAAGCGTCAATGACCACAAGAGCGAAGTGTTTACCCGAGCAGGGTACTCGCTCTCACGCCACACAGAGCACCGGCCAAGGAAGTTCCTGTGAAGGTTTTGAATTTATCTTATGCAAACTCTGCTTGCAGTTTCTAGCTTTACGTACTACGTCAACAAAGAAGTGCGGCCACCAGCAAGTAAGTCGTGCAAGTGACTTCATTTTTCAACACCCAAATTCTCCAAATGAAGATCTGCCAATGTAATAGGACGGAATGCAGGAGGAATAACCACACGTTCATTAAGTCGCAGTATTCTGTCTTGATTGATCAACGAACTATCGGGACGCGAGAAGAAGTCACGGAATGGTCGCTTTCCGTTCAACGTCCAATCCACGAGTAGAGCTGAAATGACTGACGCTTCTGTACCCTCCACAATTTCTTCACATGGCAATGGTAGTGATTGTAGCAACAAACAATCATGAGTGATTGATGGTCGACATGAATGTGGCATTCGGGATAGAATGTCAACTGGTGGTATTTATTTAGCATGACGATGCAGGATATCACAACCATATGAGTTTAGCGAAATACTCTATCTTTGAACCATTGTGTCTGATGATTTTGACAATGAATGATGCGGATAATAGATGAGGAGCGATGTCTCTTGGTCGGTAACTAATGTGAATTTTTCGGCGGAATAAATAATCATGCAAATGCTTGACAACCCATTCAATTGTCAAGGCTTTTCTTTTTGTTTGTGAATATCCTTATTCAGCTTTAGAGAGCCTTTTTGAAATGCGAACGACTGGCCACTCACACTGTTCAATAACTGCACCGATGCAAATGGGAGATGTATCAGCAATGAACACTGAATGCTCTTTTGGATAAAAACGGCTTAGGAAAGACGCCAGACTGTAAGTAAGACAGCAACTCACAAAGGGTGTTTTCTTTAGCTTGATTGCAAAAGAAGGAATTTTTGGACAAAACATCAAAAAAACAACTAGGGTGCTGAGAAAAAATTGAAATAAAACGAGCGTAATACTGAAGAACTCTAACAGTAGAAGGTTATTCATGAATTTTTGTGGGTGAAGACAACTCAGTAAGCGGGGCTCAACGAGTTGGGTCCGGAGAGAATTCTTTAGCATTATACTGTACCCAAGGGACGAAAACCTTAGAATCAGCGAAAATACACTTGTCTGGGTAATTGGGTATGTTGAACTTTAGGAATGGCTTCAGCAAACAATAAAGACGACAATTATGTATAGCTCTAGTGGAACCATGGACAACAATATCATGTTGGCATGACTCAACACCCACAAGATTTTGAACAGTATGGGTAATGTCTGTTGAAATATAGCAGGCGAGAAGTTGAGACCGAAAGGCAGAAAGTTGTATTGAAATTGACTGAAAGGAGCGTTGATGGTCGTTACCGCGCTGGATTCTTTATCCAGGGATATTTGCAGGTAATTTTGTTGTCCATGTACGCCATAAAAAAAGCACGTGTTCCATGCCAATCGGCAGTCACCGCAAATTCGTGGTGTCTTTCCATCAGCTTTTACCGGAGTGACTATCGGTGTGGCTGTTCTGTTTGGCAGATAGGTTCTCTCATACGGAAAAATATTATTCTGCGCTTAAAAAAAGGGATCACTAGATATCGCTAACAATACTACAGTATTGTGTATTCCAATAGAAGCCTGAGAACTTGTTGAGCTCAAGTTGTTGTTTGTCCAATGAATCAAGCGGAGAAGTTAGGAAAGTGAAATCAGTGTGCAATAAACGAAGAAAATTCAAGCTAAACACTGAAGGTCCTGAATCAGAAACCAAAAACTCACATGCAATACCATGAGAATCACGTAACTGAATAGGAACCATACACGAACCGATAAGAGAGAGCTTGTATCCAGTTATTCATTTATTAGTGTCACTGGTTGGATTATTCTCAGCAGCAGGATTGAAAAAATCTAGATCCTGATGTAAAATGTTACACTCCCATGGTCCACAATAAATGTTTGTTTGCTATCTTCTTGATTACGTAATGTGTAGTTGACATGTGAAACTTTCTCTGGCAAAACTGCTATCGCAAATGTCGAAAAACTGGTATCCAGTGGAGAGGCGTCATGTGTTGCTGAGTGGATCGTCAGTCGGTATGCCAGGCGACGTCTACCAACACTTTTATATGGCCAACCTTACCACAGGCAAACCACGTAGCTCGTTTGTAGGGTCATGTGATTGAGAAAGTAACTGACCACGTGAAACACACTTGGCCAGATTAGTAAATATGTGGTCAGTTTCCGAATGAGTCGATCGCTGAAGTGGGTCTGGTTAATAGGATAATGCAATGGCATAATCAAATGCGGCATTTTTTGAGTTCGTTGCTCATCTTGATGTTTAGTGGAACTGAACATTATGGACTCTGACACGGCAGTTACACCTTTTATGTTTTGATACTGCTCACAAATGTGGTGAATGTGACGGAAGGTCTGATTGGTTGAAAGTAAAACTTCGGTTGCAAGTCTGTCAAGTTGGTTCCTGCAATGAAGCGATCTCGCAGGTGATCATCCAAATAAGGACCGTAGTAGCACTATACTGTTTCATATCTGAGGAGGCAGTTAAATTTGGCTTTCTAAGCAGCAACGAAAATGACTGATCTGAAGTGCCGTAGAATAATATTCATGAGCTTGTCGTACGGTTAACTGATAGAAGCAACCGGAAAAGGCGAATTTTTCACGGGACACCAACCCCAAATAGGATAAAGTGTAAGATTTCGTGCGCGCGGTATCACTTATTGTACAATCATGTTTTGGAACGAGAAGGATGCAGTGAAGTAAAACAGAAAGAGTCAATAATAAGTATCACACATGCTTTTTCTACAAAGTGGTTGAATGATTATGAAAATCATTTCACAATACGAATTCCATTGTTGATGAAATAGCGTCTCAACAATTTCGAGTCAGTATAGAGTATTGACCAATGTTGTGGGCATCATCTGATGAATCGTTTGAAAATGTAAGAAAACTTCGAGAAACAGTCCATGAGTTATGTTTCTGAGTTGGATATGCAATTGTCTCTCTAGACTGAAAAGACTGGAATGAGATGTGCAAAAGAAAGTGCTGTGGATGTTAGAGCAAATAATGAAAATTGAGTAAAAATTTGAAAGAGCTTGGAACTTACAAATAAATCACACCAGTAAGTTATGAGCGTTCATTTTTTATTCACCGAAAATAATTATTGTTTGTCTTCAGCAGTCGCTCTTCAGGAGCGTGAAAACAAGGATTGGAAACTTTCTAACGCTTCAAGTGCCTTTTAATTGCTAAATAGATGCAAATTTGACGACTTTGATATGTGATTTTGAAATAATTCAAACACCAATTCTATTTAACTGGAAAGAACTTTTCTCGATTTTTCACCTGCTGCTGAAGAGCCTAGAACCCAGCATTGTAAACGTTTGAAACAATTTGTGGGTAAACGTGTTCGAATAAAACTGCTGTTCATTTTTTTCAAACTTTCCAGTGAACCCAGAAAACTTCTAATAACGTTACTGCATTCATAGTCACGTGGGAAGATTTTATCGTTGCTTTCAGCTTTGATCTCATTTGAATCGAATGGAACGTTGGTGGACGGAGAGCCCATTTTAAGGGTCACACGGTGACTTGTCGGACACGTGAATTATCTTCCATATGAAACGTCTATACTTGGGACCATGTACCCTTTTTCTGAATTACCTTTGGAAGAATCATCACGTGGTTTTAAAAATAGAGAGTCGGTCCCTGTGTGCTGCATTTAACTCAAATGGCAATAAAGATGTGAAAGGTCTGTGGGGTGGTCATGTATAAGTTTGATTGGGCAAAGGAGCAGCGGGTATCCATAACTGATGAGCAACAACAACGGCGAAACCAGTCGTGTGCTTCCGGGACTGTCGCCCGTCACCCACATACTACTCCAGAATGCTCTCGTGGGACAGATTGCTTTCACGTCTCGAAGTATACCACCTCAAATGATGAAAACGGTGTAAAATCATCGTTTTACTGAATTGTGTTTCGACCAATCATGATGTCGGATCGCATGATTGAAATGAACTTCTGTCGTGCACAAAATGACAGCAGACTGTTCGCTGTTCGAATTATTACCGAGCACTAGTATTTTATTAATTTTGGACACACTGAGCATAAATTGGAACTTGCGGCCTTTTTTTCCTCCTCACCAGTTTGCACCAGCATGCGGGGAGAACGCAACCGATGAATCCACTGGATCTAAGCCTTTCTGTTAGCATAATCACAAGGTCAACCTAATTTCTTCGGGTGACTTCATCTTTCACCCACAAACCTCAGGTCAACACACCAGCCCTGGACTCGGAAGCACCAGACTCGATTTTCGCTCTCGGTAAAGCTTCCCAGTTATGCATAGACTGTGCCGCACCTAACACTTGAATTTCGGTCTCTTCACCTGGATGGCTGCACCACTAATGAACTCTAACAAGGACAAAACTCGTGTCCAGCGATTCTAAGTGAAAGGGTGCATTGGATAAACTGAAGTTTATGAGTAAAAGGCGTAGTTCGAAAGGCAGTTTGCCCACCAAAGTATCAGCTAATGTTCAACTTGGGTGTATTATTATGGTACGATGTGCATGATTAAGGTCCTAATACGTATATATATATTTACCGCTAACAACCAAAATACTTCCATGAATAAGTTCACACTCCCAAAAATACTGCCAGCAAAATCTGTAAACCGGTAGCGCCAAACACTAAATCGTATAGTGTACGCAAATGCATGAAACTACCTCGCGGAAATCGGATTATCAATGTGACGCTGTTGCTTTAATGAGTTAAATGAGAACACTATTTTCGTGGTCACCTTAAAAGGCCACTTAAACCACATTCATATAAAATCGAACCAATAAAATGAAATGAGGAAAATTCTGCGTAAGTAGGTACGCAGATATGAAGCTGAGAGAGGCGGGGCGAGTCGGTCCCAATCAATAGGTACTTGAGGATAACCGAATTAGGCAACAGGTGACACCACGATACTCATGCGTGACACTAGTGCTTTTTGGCTTGAAAGTGAAATTTCTGTAAATAATTCCTGCTATGCGCTTAAATCATACCTTGATGTTAGTATGATAAATGTCTCTTGATTTGCTGGAATCAAAATCCGATTTTCTTCCATGGAATTATTTCGCAAAGTCATGCAGCCTGAATGTTGTGTTGGTCATAGTCTTTTGGCATTGAGTTAACTGCTTTTCATTGGAATGGTTATATTTTACTGCCAATCATGTTTGTTGGCCTAAAATAATGGAACCCATGACCAAGTGTACCAGTGGCTTCCGTACAAGGGTGCTTTAAGAGGACTTGAAATATTTTTCAGTTGCAATCAACGGCTGTGATTGATTCTGCCTTTCATTCTGATATGCCAATAGCTCTTATTTGGCAGGGATTCAATGCGCCGAAATTTGGAACTTCACTGAACTTCAATCTACACCTGTGACTGAGGCTCAAATAACTCATGTCGTGT